AAATCTTAAAAAAAAAGGAGGAAAAACGCCCTGTCAATGTCCATTATAACATACTCGTTGTTTAGGGTCAGCACATCGTCTATCCTCAAATATAGCAACAGGTTTGAGAGCGGAAGTGGAATCTTTTTCCAAATCCCATACACCAGCATGGTAATAATCATTGATATCCGGGTAGTCACGACGTAGCTGCTCCTGAAAATCCGCGTCAGAAAATACCAATATTCTTTCAGGAGATTAGACAAAAAATTTCAAAATTTCATTCAAAATCTACGAAATCTATTTAACTCCAAAACTTATTTTTAAATATCATGTAATTTCCCGTAAAAGCCAAGTGTGACTCCCAAAATCTAAGTAATCAATGCTTGATGTTCCAGAAAAAACCCCCCATACAATTAACTTTTCCATGCTTCTCCGAATGGCTGTTGTCCATTACGGACAAATCTTGGGAGGACCGCTGAAGAAAAAAAACGAAAAACCACAATTTTGGATATTTTGTGAAGTTATGAAAAAGGTTGTAACTAAAAGGAAAGTAATAATTAACTGATCAATGAAGGAGTATGAATAAATCTCTTTAAAAAAATTAAAAAAAAAAACAAAAGAAAGTTCCAATACCATTAAAATCAGAAAATAATTTATAACGTTCGGTCGAGGGAGGAGCTGGAGCTGGGCTGCCTGCCTGGCGAGGAAGTGCAACATGAAGCAACTGGGAGACGGGACATTTGCATATTACAGAAAACCGAGGGGCAACTGGACAAGGCGAAGGGGATTGAGGCTCCAACTTCACTTCCTTGTCACTCGCTCCTTCTTCCCTTTGCAACAAATTAACAAAAAAATTATCTACGGCAACGATGCAAAGCAACGAAACGGCTGTTGATTGATGGATCAAGATATGCAAATCCTGATGGAATATACCTGTATTTCTTTCAAAGACATTGATTTGTCTTGGCTTTCATGACCATTTTCAAGTTTCTTGAACGGCAAATCCATCGACCACAAACACTCTTTTTCCTCCTCTCCCTCCTCCTCCTGCTCCACTTCCTGAAATATTTCGGACTACAGTTTAGCGTTTTTTAATGCATTTAATAGCACAATAAATTACGAAAGAAATGCCACGAGTCTCAGATGAACAAATGCTGAAGCATCGGCATGAATCCGACTTCATGAAATGGTT